AAAAGAAAGCTATTATATAGGAGAGATAGAGAAAATATATTAAAGAAAAGAAAAAAGAAAGAAAGAAAAAAAAAAAAAAAAAGAAAGAAAGAAAGAAAGCCATTATATAGGGAGGGAGATAGAGAAAAGTGATGTATCAAAAGAAAGAAAGAAAGAAATGGGAACAGGAGGAAGAAAACGTTATGATGAAGGAAAGATAGATGCCATTATAGAAGGAGGAGATAGAGAAGGGTGATGTATTAAAGAAAGAAAGAAAGACAGAAAGAAAGAAAGATATTATAGGAGGAGATAGAGAAAGTGATGTATTAAAGAAAGAAAGAAAAAGAAAGACAGAAAGAAAAGAAAAGAAAGAAAGAAAAAAAAAAGAAAAGAAAGAAAGCTATTATAGGGAGGAGATAGAGAAAAGTGATGTATCAAAGAAAGAAAGAAAGAATGGGATACAAGAGGAAGAAAAAACGTTATGATGAAAGAAAGATAGAAGCCATTATAGAAGGAGGAGAGAGAAGGGTGATGTATTAAAAGAAAGAAAGAAAGAAAGAAAGAAAGAAAGAAAGAAAGAAAGAAAAGCTATATAGGGAGGAGATAGAGAAAAAGTGATATATTAAAGAAAGAAAAAAAAGAAAGAAAAAAGAAAGAAAGAAAGAAAGAAAGAAAGAAAGAAAGAAAGCTATTATATAGGGAGGAGATAGAGAAAAGTGATGTATCAAAAAAGAAAGAAAGTATGGGATACAGGAGGAAGAAAACGTTATGATGAAGGAAAGATAGAAGCCATTATAGAATGAGGAGATAGAGAAGGGTGATGTATTAAAGAAAGAAAGAAAGAAAGAAAGAAAACAATTTGGCGAGCAAAGAAAAAAATGAATATTTTTCTACCCCTGAATTTTCGTGTGTTAAGAGGAGGTTAATAGTTTTGGGATAAGCTTTTTTTTTTCTTGTTATTTTACTTCTTTTTTATCACATTTTATATTTATTGATAACTTTCGATCAACGCTGTTTCCTTAGCAGATCTCAACTGCGAGAGAGTCAAAAGATTTCTGAAGGAAATTCTCTTTACAAAATCCCTGACTGCGCATTGGACCGTATTTTCGGCGTATTTATTGATGCGTAACGGGAAAGTAAAATTCGCAGTCGTGAAAAATCGTTGAAGATGAATCATACCAGGAACTGGACAGACGAAAGATTAATACCTAATGACACTTTAACCTCCTCCATTTTTCTTTTTTTTTTTTCTTTTAGTTGATGCATTTTTCAGGGGATTTAGAGCTTTTCTTTTTTTAGCAAAGTTTATATTTGATATCGACGCTTATATTTCGCGCTTGACGCAGAGTGATGATGGTTAAACTAATGATGGCTGACTTTAATTTTAATGTACTAGACGTTTGTTGCAACACGCTGACTCGTATTGAAATCCTCACAGTATTTAGTATTGGTGAAATTATCGCTAACATTTTCTTCGAGATTTAAAAACTCCACGTTTCGTTCAATCTATCAAACCATTCTTTGAAATTTGAATTAGCTGATTTCTTTGGGAAAATACTTTGGCAAAAACCCTACTTCACTGTGTATTAATTTCTTTAATTAAATTTAATTTTATAGGACTTCATGATAAACAATATTTTTTTAAAGAAAAAGATAAATTATTAGGATTTCTTACTCTTGAGCATGCAACATGCAACTGGGCATGCATAAATATTTCTTTCTGGGGCCAAATTATCAAAGTGGGAACATTTTGTGATTTGTTTATAGTTCACGCAAACACAAGGCGAAATAAAAACGTGATTCTTGTATATATAAACACTTAAAGAAAAGATACGCAAAAAACAATATTTCATTTTTATGAAATAAGTATTTGTTATTTTAATCACTAAATTCTTTTTAAAATAGTCGGAGTATTTTGTATGATAAAATAATAAAACTTTTAACTTTTATAAAAAAATATTAACGAAAATTTAATGCACTAAGTAGCTTAGTACACGAATTTGCCTATCCCTGAACTAAGTAAATGCATACTCAAATATAAATGAACGCTATTTACTTATTACTAAACCAGCTGTTTACAGATTAAAATACGAACGACCAATATTTGTCTATCCTAGAATTATATATATACCCATATAAATGAACAATATTTACTTATCACTAACCCAGTTAATTGTTTACAAACTCAAATATAAACGACCAATATTTGACTATCCATGAACCAAGTAAATACATACATACTCAAATATAAATGATCGATATATACTCATCACTGAACCAGCTAATTTTTTAATGCCTCAAATATGAACGACCAATATTAGCCTAACCCTGAATCAAGTAAATATATACTCAAAAATAAATGAACGATATTTACTTATTACTAAACCAGCTAATTGTTTACAGGCTCAAATATGAACGACCAATATTAGCCTACCCCCGAACCAAGTAAATATATACATATTCAAATATAAATGAACGATATTTACTTATCAATGAACCAGCTAAATGTTTACAGAGTCAATTACAAGCAACCAATATTTGCCTATCGCAGAATCAAGAAAATGTTTACCGTCTCAAATGTAAACGATCAATATTTACCTAAATCTGAACGAAGTAAATGCTTGCAGACCCAAATATTTTTGTTGTTGACAATGTGGATTACGCTGTACGATATCGCGATTTACAAAGCGTAGATATGACACAAGATTGAAAGTGCGAGTCATCAAGAAGGGATCAAGCTCACTATTCTGTCGTACTTGATCTATCGAAGTGCCCGTATAATTTTTCTAAACGTAGCTTAAAGGTGGCACAAGGCCTAAAGTGTCTAGCAACCAGTGATAATCTCATTCAGTCGTAAAAATGTTCAAGCGAGACAATTATACAACCCTAAAGTGTTCTAATGATTTTCTATGCGTAGCTTAGATGCAAGCACAAGGCAGAAAGTGTGGTGCCCCCAGTGAGATTGTAACTCACTATTCAGTCATAACTGATCTAGCGAGACAAGCTTGTTAACCATTACACCACGCCGAAGTACGCTTATTATTTTTGAGGCGTGCTTTTGATGCGGCACAGGGCCGAAAGTGTGGAGCTTCCAACGAAAATCCAATGGTGTAATGGTTAGCAAGTTTGATTATGACTGTATAGTGAGTTCGATCCTCACTGGGTGCCCCAAACTTTCGGCCTTGTGCCACATTTATGCTACGCTTAGAGAATCATTTTTCAGTCGTAATTGATCTATACAGACAAGCTTGCTAACTATTACATCACGCCGAAATGTACAATTGATTTTCGTAGCGTTCGTTAGATACGGCACAGGGCCGAAAGTTTGGAGCACCCAGTGAGGATCCAATTCACTATTCAGTCGTAATTGATCTAGCTAGACAAGCCTGTTAACCATTACACCACGTAAAACTGCCCTAATGATTTTCAGAGCGTAGCTTAGATGCGGCACAAGGCCGAAATTATAGAACACCCAATGAGTATCCAACTCACTGTTCGGTCGTAATTGTTCTATCGAGAAACGCTCGTTACCCATTACACCACGATGAGGTGCCCCGATGATTTTTGAAGCGCAGCTTAGATACCGTACAAGGCCGAAAGTTTGGAGCACCCAGTGAGGATCCAATTCACTATTCAATCATATTTGATCTATTGAGACAAGCTTGTTAACCATTACACTATACGTCGAGATACTGATATAATGGAATATGCATACACCTGTTTTCCCCGCTCACTGGAGTGTGATTGGCTGGTGTCCGTCATAGATATCGACGGACGTGTGGGAGAGTCAGAAAAGTCAAGAAAGCCTTAGTGTTGTAGAGTAATTTTCACAGTGGAAGCTTGAATTTCACTAAGTCGGTCCTGAATTAAATTCGACGTACAAAACGTTAGGAACTTGAAATAATAGTTAATGACACAGCAATCTAGTTGTGGTGGTTGATACTTTAATGTCCAACATCGACTGACTCACCAGTTAACTCAGCTTCACTGGCGACTGCTACTACTACTCTGTGGGAGAGTATATTTACAATAGAAATAGGTATAACACTTAGTCTGAGAGCTAAGTCTATAACGACGCCCACTGGACTACGCCCTTGATCTACACTTCTTACCTGCGACTACGACGCGTACCAGTCTATTACTGCTACCATATTCTACTTGGTTATAGTAGCCAAAACCACTTAGCTACTTCGTTCAAATATATCCCTTTCCGGGACATATCAGATACCCACATGATTTTCAGAGCGTGTGGCACATGGCTGAAATTGTGGAGCAACCAGTGAGGATCGAACTCACTATTCAGTCGTAATTGTTCTAGCGAGACAAGCTTGTTAACCATTACACCACGTAGAGATTGTTACAGTTTTTTTTGTGTATATGACATGTAACTAGTGAGTTAGTTCAAATGACTTAACTCCCTTTATAGTCTACCAATAGAAGGTTAACCAATCAGAAGCCGCAGAACATTGTATCCGTCGTGTATAAAGGCGGCCATTTTTGTTTACCCTACCCGAATGACCAGTGCCAACTTGTCCGGCGAAGGTGACAGAAGGAAGAACTACGCTTTCCAATTTTACTCCGAAATATTCACTGCTAACCTCTGGATTCTGTACTCAAAACGACCGTCAAAATGTCTAACAGAGGTGTCCTAATGATTTTCTACGCGTAGCTTAGATGTGGCACAAGGCCGAAAATATTGGGCACCTAGTGAGCATCCAACTCAAATTTTCAGTCGTAATTGATCAAGCGAGACAAGCGTGCCAAGCATTACACAACGTCAAAGTGCCTCATACACTGTCGAATATAGGGTCACAGTTTAGCACGTTGCTGACTTGACTTGCGTCGAAAGTAGTTTTTTTAATTTCTACGTGCAATTGCAGACGACGTGACCAACAGGTTTTTTTTTTCTTTTTCAGAATTGTCCTTTTGATTTGTCATTCTGTTGTTAACTCATAGCTAGAGGAAGAATTGTTGGATTCATGCCTTTTCAAAATAGGTATCTGTGAAAACGGTTGAAAATGAATTCGACCAGTTAGTCGCCCCTACGCCACCAGCACACCTACAACAATACATATACGCTGTTACAAAAGAAAGAAAAACTAATGGCGACTTGTTTGGTGGGGGGGGGAGGAATTGGATGAAATTTAGTGAGCGAAATAAAGGACACTTAGCGGGAATGAAGAAAGAAAAATCAGTGATTAAATTTCTTTTTTCTTTATCATTTTTATCCAAGATTGCTTTCTTGAGCAATTTTAATTTTTTTTTTTTTTTTTTACTCTTAAAAATCGAAGTGAAGATTTTGATCGACAGTCTGGCCTGCAGTCTGCGGCAACGTTCAGAACGAATCGAGCAAAGCATTTCTATCGGATCGATCTATACTATCGATATATTGATTAAACTAAATTTGAACTAACGCAGATTCGTTTCATTAGTTTAAACTTTTCTTTTTTTCAATTCTATCTTTCCGCTTTTATTTACTCCAAAATAATTTTTGAATTTATGAAAAATATCTAATGTCTTTTAATTTATAAGAGCATGCACATCGCCAGCCATTCACGCATAGCCCCACATTATCATTCAGTATGCAAGGCTTCATATATATATATATATATATATATATATATATATATATAACCTAAGATAATCCTAAGGAGCCAAGCAAACCTACTTAGGTTCCATCTAAACGGATCTTCAGGATAAAGAAGGCTTTACCCTGAAGATCCGTTCAGGTAAAACCTAGATAGGCTTGCCTGGCTCCTTAGGATTATCTTAGTTTATCGTTCTACTTAGCGTATTGAGCACTTTACGTGGTTGTCTTTTTACTCGTTTTGGTTTTTTTTTTCTTTGGACTTGGAGCTTAAAAACTTGACGATTGTTTTCGCCTTGTTTTAATATTCTTGGTTCTTTCTTTTTTTTATTTCCTATTTTTCCTCGGGTACCGATTTGTTCTTCTGCAAGTTGAGATATCCAAAGATTTTCCAAAAGAGTACTACCATTTATTGTTATGATCCTATTCCTTGTACCACGGTGATAGTCCAAGGTAGAACCAAATAAGAACTCAAACACAGGTATGGAAAAACACAGATATATTACAAACAGGAATATATACAGAGAAGTAGAAAGTGTTAGTACGAACAATCAGGTTTAGTAGAGAGAACAATGTAGTGTCGACCAGTATCACTATTCCAATGTCTTGTAGTAATTGTCTGAACGCCATTCTGTTTCGGACTGCCTCTGACTCGACTCTTGACTCGACTTGAACTACTGACTCGACTTGAACTACTGACAATATTCAGTCACCCCCCCACGAGGGTGTCATGTGGCACAAGGCCTTTTTAACGTGGGAATTCCCGAGCCATTAGGCTCGGCCAAAAAATAGCCCATTTGAACCCGTATGAACGGGTTCTGGGTTTTTACCTCCCGAAGGAAACTCCGCCTTCGGCGTAGCCTCCTTCGGGTTCCTCCCGCCCGTAGGAAGAGAGTTGAACCGTGCAGTCAGTTCAGAGGTGAACGACTGACTATTTGCCTACTCCCGAGGCGCAGTATTTCTTAAGTATGGAAGAGTCCGTTATTATTATGGGTAAGATCCCATAACATTTTGATATATATATATATATATATATATATATATATATATATATATATATATATATATATATATATATATGAATATATATAGTTTTAAGGTGTTCTATATTTATGGGATAAAGTGCTCAATATCAGAGATAGAACTTATGTAAATATAAATTTAAAAGGGAACATTGAAGTCAACACTCAGAGGCGACAGGCTGATTCATGCTGGACGCAATCGTCATATATATATATATGCAAGTTTCATTAAAAATGACTGACAAGGTACTGTGGTTACTTTTCTTTTTGGTTGCCGGTTCATGTAATGTAATAATTGAGCATTTGGCAGCAGCCCTCTTTATGCATGTTTTATCAAAACAAGTGAGAAGTAGTTTTTAATGAAACTTAAATAAAATATTACTGCGCAAATACACAATATATATATATATATATATATATATATATATATATATATATATATATATAATTATTTATTAAAAAATATGCTTCCAACTCGCGACATAAGAGGTCTCATATTTCAAAACAAGAGCCGAAAACTTCAATATAATTATTTGAATTAAATTGAGTTTAAAACTCTGTTCCATCTTCAAGCGAATTTTTTTTTTTTTTGGAATAACGTATTTCTGAAATTTACGTGTTTTAATAATTGAAATCCAAATTTCCATGGTAACAGCTAGGGCGAATTGTTTAAATTGGGTAGGCGTGTGTTGGGTGTTAATAATAAGTATCAGTATAGAGTTACTTTTATAGATGTCAAGTCAGGGAAAGGTAGGGGTGTCTAAATTTGAAACGGAGATGTATTCACCCTAGTCTGGTATGCGTGTCTATGGAGATTTATTTATTTTTTTATTTTATTTTTTTATGATGAAAGGGATTTGTGCATATAAAAAACTGCCGTAACGTTTGTTTTTTGACGATTTCATAAAGGGTTATCTTTTTTGTAGGGTATTTAAACTATTTATTTGGGCTATGGATTATGAAAGTTATTATATTGTATTCATGCTTTTAGCTAATTATTCAAACCATGAATCTGATGATTGGGCTATGGATTAATCAAGTTATTATATTGTATGCTTGTTTTTAGCTAATTATTCAAACCATAAATCTGATGATGACGACAAAAAACCGTTAACTCATGTCTATTGTTTAATAGATTATGATTATTTAGAAGCTTAATAATGTGCAATTTCTCATGGAGGCACAAAGGGCATGGGTCATCCCAAGTTTTACATTTTCTAGCCCTGTTTATAATTTTCTATTTTACTTTAAGTGGCCTATTTGTTTCCATCAGATGCCAAAAATATCTAAATATATATATCTAACATAGAACGTGTGTTAGCACGTGCTATACCCTGTCTTCATCAGCCGCTGACCAGGAGTGATATCACGGTCTCGGTGACTATGGCGGGACCACCACCCCTGGCGCCACCAGCAGCGTTTGCCACCAGACAGGTTTGAAGATAAGATAATTGATCGTTCCTTTAAGTAAATTCTATCTGTAATGAAAGTTTCCTGAACGCGTTTGCCGTTATTGACGCGCTCGTAAAAATCGTTATAGACGACCACGCAAATATCTCACTTGCGCATGTTAGGTCGTGATGTGGCGCGCATTTTATTTGCTTGTTTTGATCTCGACCAAATCCAACTTGACGCCTGTTGAACGGTTTTTTGAATGCGATGCGAAACAATATATATATATATATATATATTACAGAAAAAAAAATTGCCTCAACATCGGAATAGACTATTTCAAACCGTCCCTGAACGGCATTCGTCAGCCACTAAGTATTTGTCTTTGGAGCGCTTATTTATATATTTTTCAGTCTCTGGTAGACGCCTTGTTAATGAGAGTGGACTTGTGTTAGCGAATGGTGGGAAAAAAAAGATATCTTGTCGGGGTGGGGGGCAGCGGTCTGGATTAGGAGTTTATTTATGGCGAGGATTTCTGTTAGTTTAATATCGGTTACTACTAGGATCCACTCGGATTATACACCAACGGATCAATTACCTGTAATATATATATATATATATATATATATATATATATATATATATATATATATATATATATTACATGAGAAACAATATATTACTAGGTTTATATATATAAAAAAATAAAAAGTTTACTAAATCAGTAAATTAAGTAACTATTTTTTGTCATTGTCATAAATTTTACTTAAAAAAAATGTACCTAATATACATACTTATACTTGATGTAAAAATAATCCTACAGAATATAAAGGGATTCTAATACATTTAACTGTTCATAAAAAAATATAGTATAATAAAAATTAAAAATGAGAATATTTCAAATCGTAGTTAAATAAAAAGTATTCTAATATGAACACCCACGAAAATCTTTAAATTTACAAATAGGAAAAAAATGCGTAAGAATTTTTTGCCGTTAGCAATAAATTTAAAAAAAATCCAGACGACATGCATTCAACGGATGTCAGTTTTCATTGAAAAATACATCCCTACCCATTTACCAAAATGTAGCTAATAACCGATACAATGATACAGACATAAGGAAAACCCAGAAACCCCTTGTCCAGTTGAAGTAGATTTATCTGTAACCATGGAAACGTGATTTTAGCTGTGTCTTTAAAACCCAGTAATTTTAAAAGTTACTCCAAAATTCGCTTGAGGATGAAATGGAACTAATGTCTTTAATTTAATTACAAAATTAAATTCGAAGCTTTTAGCTTCCATTTTTGAAACATGGTTAGAACTGTGTAGCGGAAAAAAACATATTTTAAATCAATTAATTTATAATATTAATGCTCTGTAAATTTACATTGGGCACTATTTTGTAAAAATAAAAATATCTATAAGAACACAGGATTATATATCTTACTGTTCTTTCTTTTTATTTAAATACATAAATATAATAATACAAATAACAACTTATGTAATTGTAGGAATCCGAATAATTGTCCACTACAAACTGTGGGATTACTTCTGTAGTCTATCTTAGTACTATTTCAACAATTGAAAATCCAAATATAAAGAAGTTTTACATTGGTAGCACCATGAAAAACATTCAAGGAACGCTGGGGGGCATATGCAATCCTTTAATCACAGTGATTATAGGTACATGACTTCATTATCCAAGTATTTTTGGAATCCAAAAAGAAAAGAACAAAAACACCTACGGTTAAATGGAGTTTGGTTACGAAAGCTCGTACATGTAACTCCCTATATACCCCATGTTACCTATGCCTTAATGAAAAATTTGAAATTATTAGATTTAAAAACAAGGCTGATCTCTTAAATCAAAGATATGAACTTACTGTTAATTGTAAACACCGTTATAAATTTAACTTAGTGTAGGGGTCGTATACTTTAAATGATAATGATATGTCGCTGTAATTTTAATAGATAAGTATTTTATTGCATGATGGTCATACTTACGATATATATATATATATATATATAATAAATCTTAATAATGTACTACCTAGGTTTCACCACATGGGATCATCAGGATGAACCAGTTCACCCTGATGAGCCCAAAAACCTAGGTAGATAGTAAATGGCTCATTAGGATTTTTTTAATTATATTTTGTCTCTAC